TTAAAAAAAAAAAAAAAAAAAAAAAAAAGGGAAATAGCTTCAAATGCTTTGGAAATTAGAATATTGTCTTCTTTTCTATCTCCGGTTAAGTAGTTGTTAAAACAACTAATGTGATGTCAAAATATTAGTCAAACTCTTTAACTTCTTTCTAACATCATGGAAAAATCCAAAGTTGTCGATATTAGATTCTTAGATATACTAGTTCCTCTACTCTTTTTTGAGAATTTTTGCTATATTAAATCTAACACGGGTGTAGAAATTAGGAATACATGTCGCAAGTATATATCACTTTATTATGTTTTCGGCTAGTTCTTTTTAATATCCAACTCTCTTAAACTTCATGATTAAACATGATTTATATTTCAAAAGCACTTATTAACAAATGTTATAAAATAGTTTTACGTAAACTCTTTGTATACGATTATGTTTTAGAGATAAAGTTTTAAATATTATAATTCACTATTAATAAAAACATTAGAATTCAATTTTTTATCAAAAATAATTATAATACTAATACTTTGTAGTTTTAAAACTTTAACATTTTAATAAGGGAAAAGATTCTTATAACACATAAACAAGTGAAATTTTCAAAACATTATTAAACAGTATTTTTTTTTTTCAAATTCACGGTCTTATATTGGGTAGTTTACAATATTCCTCCTAAAATTATTGCTAAAATTTGATAATACCTGTTTATAATTATCCTGAAGATTATGAAAAATATTTATTAGATACCATTAAACTTTTTTAGAAACTAACAATTCAAAAAAAAAAATTCACCAAAACTAATTACTCAGCCTAAAAGTATGGAAAATATGACAAATAAACTTCTAAAAATTTATAATAATATAGAAAATAACCTATCATAGAGAATGTGACAAATTAATAAAATTACTTCTCTAATAATATTATAGATAGAGAGATTTTCTAGTTACTATTCGTTTTATATAGAAAAACATTGGAATGTAATGAGCTAGGTTGTATAAAAACTCTTTCTGAAATTAGTTTTTTTAAAAATATTTTGGAATTAGAAACTTCAAAAATGCGAGTGGAAACATGATTTCCATTAAACGAGTAAAATCATATCACCTAATGATTTAGGTTTACTTCTACATCCAGATCTGAAATTTAGATCCTATACAATTCAAGTTTTGCAGATTATAGGATGCAAAATTTATAGAATGTTCTAAAGTGCTATCAATATCTCATATGATGCACCTAATTTGTTTTCTTATTGGTAATGATTGTATAAACCTTTGGTGGGGACATGAAATTAGTAATTTTGATACGTTCTATTTGGAGTTTTTGTCACTGAGAGGCAGTTTCCGTGTTTTATTAACACTAAAAGGCAGTATAAGCTATTAGGACACTTTTTGTGTTTAAAGACTCAACTTGCCATTAATTTTCTTAAACGGAGGTTTGGTGTTTTAGTTACTTAAATTTGTTTGGTTATGATTTTGAATTTTGAATTTCGAAAGTAATATATTATTATAGTTAACCTTGGTTAGTTTTAACTAGGGTTAAGATCGTGTCGGGTTTAAGAGTGAAAAGTCGCGAGTCTGCCCTTTTGTTATCTTTCTTCAGTAATTAGGGTAAAATCTGGGAATAGGAGAGTCGGGAAATTACCTTTGCCGTTAAAATCGAGGGAACTTTCTACTCGCCGTTAGAAGACGATGTCGCGACGACGCAGCCGCCGTGGTAAAGAGACCGACAATGGTGAGTTTTTTAATCCTTGACTTCTTGATTTTAATTTGAGATTGAATTTTTTCTGGGTAAATGAATGTCATAAGTAGAGAACACTATACTTAAGTGGTTTTGTGTTTACAGAGTCGACGGAGGTGGAGGATATTACAGGAAGACTGCCGGAACGTTTGTTTGCGACTGACCGATTTCCGAACGAAAGAGTGAACATGTATTCTACGATAAACCATTTACTGGCGGTTCGTGACGCTTTAGCCGGTACGCCAGAGATGGATATACTTTGAAGTCGTGCTTTGGTGGCGTTTTCAAGATCCCAACCAGAAGGCTTTTGATGGGAAAGGTTGTTCATGGCATGCTGACGAGACAGGTGGTGACGAAGAAAAAGTACGAAATGTGGTCGGCTTTTGCTGGGAACCCCATGCGTTTTTCGTTGGTTGAGTTTGGTGAAGTAACTGGTTTACCATGTGGGGCGTTTGAAGATGGGTATAGTATTGATTATCTAGTACCTGAGAAGGAAGAAAATTACGACTACTGGGATAAGCTTATTGGAGAAGACAGGGATGTTACTGTTGAAGGGCTAGTTGCAATGGTTTTAGAAGATGAGGAGATGCCTGGCTGGCGTAAGTTTAGATTGTGCCTAATCATTATTGTAGATGGCGTTTTGCTGGCCACATCGCAGAAACCAAAGCCGAGTCTTAAGAATGTTAACCTAGTACAGAACTTGAAAAAGTTCTTTGCTTTCCAATGGGGCAGAGAATCGTTTCTCTGGACTTTAAGCACGATGATACCTGCAGCAAAGGTCTGGGGGAAGTGTGTTGATCCAACTGGAGATCTGTGTAAGAAGCTCAGACAGAAGACGATGAGGTCGTTTGGCTTCCCTTTGTCGTTGCAGTTGGTAGCTTTTGAGGCCATTCCGAAGCTTCTTGAAAGGGCAAGTGGTGATGATAGCATCACGTTGTTAACCTACCCGGGTAGATTTTTGCCCAAACATGCGGGGCTGACTGTTTCAGACATCAGGATGGCAGAACACGATAGAGGGGTAAATATTTTTTTTTTTATCTTGTTGTATTGTGGAATGTGGTGTACACATGTACACCCTGGCTGTGAGAGACGGTGTACACGGGTAGGATGGTGTACGACTGCTATATAACATTTTCAAAAACGTGTTTTCCAATGCAGATTGTGGTGCAGCCAATGTTGGAATTTAGTGATGAAAAACCAGAAAGGTGGGGGCTGTTCGATGATGAGATGTATGACAAGAAGGTAGAGTATATGTTGGGGTTGATCAAGGAAGGG